AATGAATTTGGAGGTTAGGTGTATGATCATACAGGATACAGATGCTGCAAACTCTCGGATTCAGTCAGAAACAGTGGCTGAAAGAGAGAACAGAATCAGTGACAGATATGGAATTTGTGGTTGAAATGATACATATTTGATTTAGCCACCTTGATTTTTAATTATTAAAATTACATCTGATTTAGGGTTGGATTTCGGCTAATTGATATGACAATACAGACAGTGGAGAAGTCAAGAGAGATGATGGTGAGGTAGAGTTTTGTCTCATCCTGTACATGTAGAATCTAACTTGTGTCTAGAGATATATTTTCTGAGGATCAGGCAAAAGCCAAATATGATTGTTGAATCATTGCAGGAATGAATATTGTGGGGTGATCAAAGAAACCTTTGTAGTAGATTCTCTGGCAAGTGACTGGATAGATAATGGTGGAAGAAAATTAAGATGGTCATACTTTGTCAACAGAGGATAGAGGGAGAATGATGGTGCAGTCAATTGAGTCAGAGACTGCAGAATTGTTGCGAAGATCCAAGATGGGTAGTGCACAGCATTTGCTATTTGTGACTTGATTAGAACAGATTTGGTGCTGGGGGAGCGCAGAATCTGATTTGGAGGTCTTCAACCTTGGAACAATCAAGGACTTGGGAGAGAATAGGGAGGCACAAGTCAAGAGTGTGACAGAATACTATGTTATATACTATGTACTCTTCTGGATAAGTGCGGGTCCATCAACACTTGCAAAGCATGATACCATCCAGGTCAAAACAGTACAGTTCATCGGCATTCTACGCACCACCTTAAACACTCGCTCCCTCCACTACCAGTGTACAGTAGCAGCAAATTCCTTTGATGACCTCTTCCCAACCTGCAGCCCTTAATATCCAGAAGGACAAATATAGCAAACTTGTAAGAGCACTACCAATTGCAAGCTCCCCTCCAAGCTAAACACCATCCTGACTTTGAACTATATTTGCCATTCTTTCAGTGTTGCTGTATCAAAAAATGGACCTGTCTTCCTAACAGCAGTGTGCATGTACACCAGTGGCTCACTGTCCCATTCTCAAGAGCAAGAAATGTTGTCCTTCCAGGTGCCACTCACATTCTATGAAATAATAATTAAGGATAGCATGGGCAAAGATAGAAGAGAAACCAAAGAAAGGAGAGAGTTTAGAGCTCAGGTTGGGGGATCCTTGTGAAAGTCTGCTTTGATGCGCAGTGAAAGAGAAATTATGGCAGAAAGAGTTTAATGGATGGTCTCAAACTTAATGATAAATAGGTTTTTATGCTCTTCCCTATGACACTATATTGGTGAGTTACATAGCCCAAAATAATCACACATTTAAAGCATATTTATCTTTCTACCAAAATTATCTATTTAAATTGTTAGGCATACAGACCCAGAGGTTTGAGGTTCGTAGCAATACAGATCTCTTATCCACTTTGAAAATGTTCTTATGAAGTTTTCTTGCTGTGAATAGCATGGATAATGCATAAACTAAAAAGAGGTTCACACTTTCAATTTAGAACTATTATGATTGCAAAGTTTCTCTTCCAATGTATTTGAGCAATTATAAGGCAAAGACTATGGCACACTTATATAATAATTGAACTGTCTACATAACAACAACATATACTTGTCTTGCGCCATCCTCTTGTTACTGGTATAACATAACCCAGAAAACAACTAGCAACTGTGGTGATTGTAACAAGGTCAGCCAGGTGGACCTCATAGAATATGAGTTCCCTGATTGGATCAGACAAACGGCAACAATCAGGGAACCCTGGCTGACAGATCAGAACAGGAGTGTCAGAAATCCTGTTCATTCTGAGAGCTTGGTCTGTGGGAGCTGGATCAGTGTCAAGGACTCTCCGTATGTAAATAAAGGGTGTCTTGGTGACAGGATACCAGCCTCTGTGGAGTTAGTTCAGCAACAAATTTCATTACAGTACCCAACATAATCACCAAGTGAAGCAGGCACCAGTCCTCTCAAAGATCTCAAAATTTACATGGAAGTGTAAAGTGAGTCAGCTTACATAAATGTGGATCTGGCAGAAGTAAAAGTTGAAGAAGGATTTGCTGCCACTGGATAAATACATATCTTTATTCTTGACCCTGATGATTTAGTTTTTGATTCCAGTCTCAATTCAGCTATTCAGTAAGTCAGCTACGTCCTTTCTTCACACCATACTGCAGACTGCAATCTGTATATTTGCAGATTCTGTTATGCAACAGAGTCTTTGTGCTTTGTGCACAGCCATTACGTAACTGGCAGCGTCATTGGCATCAGCAAGGGAGCCTGCAGGCATTTGGATAATGAGCACAATCAAAGCATCTTTCAGAAATACTTCCGCTGCTGATTTTGAAACATTGATATTGATGCTTCGTGATCCCATAGTAATTGCCTTCTCTGCGCTTGAAGATAGAATTCAGGCAGTCATGAAAGAAATATTCCAAGGCTTTGCAGTGAAACAGTGTGTTTTAATACAAAGTAGCTGCCATGTGGATTTGGAATCCAGGGAATCTGAAACAGGAAGAATTTTTTAAAGTAATAGGCAGTCTCTTGACCATACAGTTGGAGTAGGACATGATGTTGAAGCCATAAGGCTGAATGATCTGGATAATGTAAGACATACAAGTAGCTTCATAACAAGCAAAGAACAGTACGGTGCAGGAACAGGCCTTTTGGCCCACCAAAACTGTGCCAACACATGATGCCATTCTTTGCCCCCTCGTTGTTCATATCCTTCTATTCCCTTTGTATTCACATATCTGTCAGGATGTTTCTTAAATGTTCCCATTGTATTCACCTTCTCTGGCAGCATTTCTTGGCACTTACTACCTTCTGTATAAAAAATCTTGCCTCTCACATCTCCTTTGAACTTACCTTCTTTTACCTTAAATCAATGCCCCCTGGAAATTGATATTTCCATACAGGGGTAAAGACTCTGATTTTCCATTCGATTCATGCTTCTCATAATTCTGTAAACTTCTGTCAGGTTGCCCGTTATCCTTTCATGTTCGAACAAAAACAAACTAACAACAACAAAACAGAAATTGCTGGAGAAGCTCAGCAGGTCTGGCAGCATCTGTGAAGAGACATCAAAGTTAATGTTTCGGGTCCATTGACCCTTCCTCAAATCCAGGCTGATAGTGAGTATGGAAGGATTGTCCTTTGAGGAGAGATAGGTTTGCTGGGCCTGTATACAGTAGAGTTTAGAAAGATGAGAGGTGATCTGATTGAAATACATGAAATTCTAATGGGGCTGGACAGACTAGATGCAGGGAAGATGTTTTCCTTGGCAGGGGAGCCTAGACAGACAGGACACAGTTTTAGAATGTGGAGTAGACCATTCAGGACTCAGATGAGGAGAGACGTCTTCACTTAAATGACAGTGAACCTATGGAATTTTCTACTACAGAAGGCTGTGGAAGCCAAGTCATTGAATATATTCAAGAAAGGGATAGATAATTTTTTTTGGATTTTAAAGGCATTGAGGGGTATCAGGAAAACGTGGGAATATGGAATTGAGATTGATGATCAACCATGATCAAATTGAATGGCAGAGCAGGCTTGAAGAGACAAATGGTCTATTCCTGCTCCTAATTTTTATGTTTCATGAAAAACAAAATACATTTTAAACCTTCATTAATGTCAATAAAAGCATGACACGTCACCTCCAACTTTACATACATTCTTTGGAATGAATAATATCCAGATGAAATAAACTAATGAAAAATAGTTGACTCCAGGTGTAAAAGGGAGAGGCTGTCAGCTAAAAAATAAAGACATTTGGCTGAATAAGTTACTCACTTTGAGTTTTGTAAACCCATGCTGCTGCTTGCTTAAACTGCTTGCTGAGCTTCTAGTATTGTTTGTTCCTCTATGTAATTCAGCCTGTTGCAGCTCTGATTTCTACAAGCAAATGTATGCTTCTTTCTGTGGGTGTGTTTTCAGTTTGCAGCATTGCACTTTCTTTGCTGTCTGAGAAATCTTGTAGAACACCTTTGCCATCAAGATAGATGTTTTTGTCTTTCAAATATAGCTTGCTGTAGTTAGGGACTTTGAGGCAGGTGAAGCTGCTTCTTTAGCCACATATTAAGTTAATATTGTTGTTTACTTCCTCTATCATGAATATTTTAAGAGATAGCTGTAACAAGTACCCCTGGGAAACATACATTTACAAGTTTTATTGTTTGATGGTTGAAGATCTTTGCAATAACTATAGGGTGATACTTCTCTCTGTTGATGAATGCCATGGATGTTGCAAAAGTACTTGAAGAATACATTGAGTGACATTCTTTTTGTCATATTTCCTACCACTGCTTGCAAGAAGTCTGAGGCAAAAATGCTAAGTGCCTTGATGTTCTTTAACTGTGATTGTTTTTGTAGTTCCTTGTTTCAGGTGTAGTTGACCCAAATAACCTATCTTTTTTTGATCATGAAAAGTCTTTTCACGTGTAGCTCTTAATGAGGTCAGTGTGGCTTTGTTACCTGCAATACTTAAATACTAGTTGTGATCTTTCTCCTATAAAGTAGGTGGCTCTGGTTCATGTCTACCATTTGTGAGCTTTACTGATTTTATGCATGTGTGCACGGACTGAGGCAATTGAGTTTCGCTTCACATTCTTTCCAATCCTGTACTTTGCTGGACCTTTGCTTTTTTATCGGTAGCTTTATAATGGAGGCCAGCTCATCTGTATTTGGGGTTTAAAAATGTATTGAGCCTATCTGAATATTAATGAGTACTAAATAGATTTGGTTTGAAAAGCAATTTTGTGAATGTGACCAAACTTGCTGCAGTCTTACTTTTAATGGTAATATGTCAAATTGTTCCACACTTGGCATTCATATTTTTAGATTTCTTTTTCAAGCTTTGAACTATTCAGTTTCTGAAAAGTATTAACTGATTTTCAGGGAACTAATCCTCTGAGAAGATGTATGCATACCTACTTATGTGCCCATTCCTTTAGATTAATAACAATTCCTTTTATCTTTTACAGAAAACTCCACCTTTAATTCTAGCAGTGAGGCAGAGCGGAAAGCTCAACATTATTATCTTTCCTGTTTGAACGAACAAAGAATTGAAGAACTTGGCGCACAGCCTTTGATTGATCTCATTAATAGGGTAAGTCTTAAAGGTCATAAATATTAAAGTTTTGTTTAGTTTCTGTTAAAGTTTTAAATGCAGAACCAATTTAAAATCTTAAAGAACTGTTTTAGAAGAATTGATTAAATTCTGTTAGGTTTGAAGGTGGTGTAATCATTCAGAACCATCTGACTGTTGTAAATCCTGAAGTGAGCTCTGTTTTGAGATTGATTTTATTTCATTAAATTGTGGTTCATGATTTTGATTTTTTTTTTAGAAAGGATTTCATATAATTCATAAAGTGGTGTTAGTATTCAATTAAAGAAATATGGTAAAAGCTTAAAACCTTTCAACTACATTCTGGATACACTGACAATTTGGGAATTTGGGTGTGTTAATGATCACCCAAAGCAATTGGGTACAATAGGAGATTAAAAGCAAAATACTGCAGATGCTGAAAATCTGAAATTAAAAAAAGAGTCCTGAAGAAACTCAGCTGGTCTGGCAGCATCTGTGGAGAGAGAAACTGGGTTAGTGTTTCGAGTTGGATATGACTTTTTCAGAACTTGTAGGAAATGTCATATGGGACTCAAAACATTAACTGTGTTCCTCTGCAGATGCTGGTAGACCTACACTTTGTTTTATTAAAATAAGAGAGTTGATCCTTGTCTTAGGTGCATCTTATAAACATTCACACCATATGGTTTGAAATGTCTCTTTCTACTGAATTTCATGTGGTTAATTTTAGTAGGTTACTGAGAACCAGAGATCATACTTAGTTGTAAGGACAGAATTAGATTGGATATTCTCACAGAATAGGGAGCTGTGGAATAGATCCCAGTTTTTGCATTGAATGGTTGTCTTTTTTTAAGGAAGAATTGAAGTGGAGATCCAGCCTATTAACACACTCTGTGAGCTGATGAGCTGTGCTAAGTCAGCCAGTTAGTTGAAGACAGGGTGGGACTTAATGGCAGGACAAGCAAGCAGTCTATGTACAACAAAAAAGTATTAACTCAACAGTATATTTAGATTTTTCTGTCACATTTAATAAAAGCATAAAGAAACACTGACAATTATTTGGAATACACAAAAAGTTTGGAATTATTTGGAAATACTAGAGCAACCAAAATTGGCTGCCTTTTAATTGACCAGTTTGTAGACTCAATAAGTACCCAATATCTGTATTTTATCAGATGGCCAACAGACTTCATTTACATGGCACCGGGTTCCTTTACTCACAAAATGATTATGTTGTTATTTTAACAAATATCAAATGAAGGGCAACATGGTGGCTCAGTGGTCAGCACTGCTGACTCACACTGCCAGACACCTGGGTTTGATTCCAGATTTGGGTTATTGTGCAAACTCCACACATTCTCCCTGTGTCTGCTTGGGTTTCCTCCAGGTGCTCCAGTTTCCTTTCTCAGTCCAAATATATGCAGGCTAAGCGGATTAGCCACAGTAAATGGGATTACAGGGACAGGGTTGGGGACAGGTTCTAGGTGGGATGCTTTTTAGAGGGTCAGTGCAGACTCTTTCGGCAATATAGGGATTCTATGATCAGGAGTGGTCCACAGGAGATTCACGGGTATTTGTATAAATAATTTCAGAATCTTCAATGCAAATCAGGGGCTACATTTGAAAATGTCTAGGGTAGGGGAATCCAGAAGTAGAGGGCATAGATTTAAGGTGAGAGGGGAGGGATTTAAAAGGGACCTAAGGGACAACATTTTAATGCAGAGAATGGTGCATGTATGGAATGAACTGCCAGAGGTATTGATGAAGGCTGATGTAATTATAACATTTAAAAGGCATCTGGATGGCTACATGAATAGGAAAGGTTTACAGGGAGATGGGCCAAATGCTGGCATATGGAACTCGATAAATTTAGGATATCTGGTCAGCATGGACAAGTTGGACCAAAGGGTCTGTTTCTGTGCTGTAGATTTCTATGATTCTATTAAAGCAAGGCAATTTATTTTATCCCCCTGACCTGAATCCAGAAATTTACCAATACTTGGCAATTTACAAACATGGAGAGAGAAATTGAGTTAAAGGATTGGTGGTTAGCGAAAAGGAATTGCTTTTTAGATTTTAAGTATGGAATCATTTAATTTCTCACTGAATTAGTAAGCCTGCATATTCCAATGGACAAGATGGGAAAAATTTCATCAGTCTAGATCCCTTCCAACTCCCATTTGTATTTTCTGTGTGTGAGCATATTAATGGCTGAAAACAAGTTGTAGCCTAATTTTAGTATTTAATTGTGGGGTGGGGGTACACAGGGAAAAAATTAAATGCTTTTTTCAGTTTTAATTTAGAAATTGTGTTTCTGTTACTCTGATCACTTGCTGCACAGAATAGTATGTATGCCTTTTACTATCTCCTATCACTACCACACTTGAACAGCATCCTTTACCTGGTGCCATGGTTTCCAAACTGTAGATTGTCCCAGCTCAGCCTGTCAATGTCAGAGACATCCACAATCACTGACCACTGGCACAAAGGTTCATGATCTTCTCTAAACCTTCCCATGGGTCTCAGACAAGGACTGAGACTGGTCTTTATGGGCTTTTTATGTAAGATACAGGAATAAACAGTTGAGTCTGGAAACTGGTAGGCAAATAATTTATATTTGAATTTCCTTTAGTGACGGATAACAGGGAAGTTAATGTTAATCTTTTTTGAATAGTGGGAATTTTTATTTCAACGCTTCAGCTACCAGCAAATCCTGTCTTGTTTTGTCAATGTTTTCTGAATGTTGAAAATGACCGTCAATTTGTTCATGGAATTAAAGTTGCTTGTTTGTTACTATGTTTTTCTTGGTCATGTTTTCATACATTCTTGAAGATACTTCCTGCTATTAGATATATATGAAAGAACTAAGAGAGCCTGGAGTGGTAGTTTTGAGTTGTAGCTGTGTCTGACATCTCTGTGAAGGTGTTAAGAAAACTGTGGTTCCCTTTGGCCTTGCCCTGTGCATGTATTTGAAATTACCTGAGCCCAACTAATCACCCTAGAGTCTGAGTTAGCTTGACTGATATTATAATCACTTTTCCACGTAATGTACTTTCAGGGACATTGTTACATTTAATGATACCTGATAATGAGTATCTTTGTAATTTTTGATACATTATGAACAGCAGAAAAAGTATTAAAATAACTTTATATATTGATTTATACTGAATACATATATCTAATGTATGTTGAGGAAATGTTGAGCAAAAATAAAGGCAACAGTTCATCATTTGAGTGCAATTAGACCCAAAGTGTGAGCTTGAGAAATTGGTACCGAGAGGAAGGAGATACTGTTCCCTAAGGTGGAGGGTGCTCATCCTCTGTACTGGCCATGTTCTGAGAAAAATCAATGTATGATATCTCAAGGAAGCAGGTAAATGATTGTTTGGTGAGTATTTTTCCCATTTATCTTTTAAAAGCTCAAGTAATTTATTGGTAATTGTAAGGTTTTTATTTGTTTTTGAATGTTTACAAGCAGTAGTAAAGCTTACTGAGATTAGACTGATTTATGAATTATACATTAATAGATCATAAAGTCAGTAATGTAGGTGATATATTGCAACTACATAATGTGGGAGCTCCTGGATATCAGAGTGATCCAGAGTATACAAGTATATGCAATCTGGAAAGATGCAGCTCAGACTGATCGAGCTGGAGTCCAGGCTTCAGGCACAGCAATATATCTAAGAGGTGGTTAAGGTTACCTCGACACTTTGTTCCAGGAGATGGTCAAACCCTTAGGCTAGTAACCTCAAAGAAATCTGTTGACTTTGTATGAAGTGTTTACTGCCACTGTGGATGAGGAGAAGAACTGCAACTGTATTATAGGACTGACCATGGCACCAGGTAAAAGATGCTGTTCAAGTGGAAAGATCAAAGAGGGATGTGGTAGTGATAGGAGATGGTAAAGGGCATACATACTATTCTGTGCAGCAAGTGTTCAGGAGTTGTGAAGTTTTATTTACCAGCCAAGTGCCAAGATTCAGTATATCTCCTTATAGCAGGAGATGAACTTGGAGTGGGAGGATCCAGTTGTCATGATCCATGTAGGATCCATAACATTTGTAATGATGATCCTAGCCAATAGAAATACTGAACAAGTCCAGATCCCAGAGTGAAACTTGACTGATAAATTGTAAGTTTTAATTTTGCAATTTGATTGCCATGGCTGTGAGTCATTGAACATATTCAAATGAGTCTGCTGATGTCCTTTTAATGAAACAAAAGTTTATTAGACAAATAAACAAAAACAAAGCACCATATGTATGACAATTTGGTAATATCTCATCATAAATAAAAAGAAAAGTTGATTGTTTTTCCATGCAAAATCCTTCTATAGACACTCAATGAGAGTAAAGTATCAGTCCTACTTAACTCTTTAATTTCATTCTCACTTGATGTATTTACAAGTATTTCCTTTTGGACTTTCTGCGCAATAACCAGATGTGACTTTTTGATTCTTGTCCTTCCCTGAGTCACACAGGCACAGATTGACTCACTGATTTTTCCTGAAGTCCCCCAGGCCTTTCTTTCTCGACGTCTTAAATATTCAGCTTTATAAACACTTCCTAAGTTAACTCACCATGTAGCTTATTCTTAAGTCACATGCTTTCTTGGAAAGGCTGATTTGAACCTCCTGTTCATAAAGTCTTTTTCCCAAAAGTAAACAAGTCCCCTTCACAGAACGAGAACTAAAAATTGCCATTTGCCTCTTCTTCAGAATCCACATAATACTATATACAAAACTTTATCATAGTAGAACCAGGAATAATGTTCTATTAAGAGAAATTTAGGGGTTGGGATCCAAATTAAGATGTTGGATATAGAATTTAATCATATTGGCATACCCAATTTGTATAGCCTCAAGCAGATTATAAAATAATCCTGTGGCTCAGAGTGGTGAGGGAAGAAGAGGTTTTGTTTATGGGACGCTGGCATCATTACACAGGGAAGAACGGGCTACTTGTTTGGGATGAGTTTCATTTAAACCATACTGGAACTATGCCATTCATGTAACTAGG